CCCATTAACAATATAGACATAAAGGCAAGTGTCAAGTAATTTATTTCTTGTTATACCACCGTATCGTAAAATATCGATATCCGAAAGTTGTATCGCGATATATCGAGTTTTCAAAATATATTGCAATATTCCGATATACCGGTATATCGTTACACCCCTAATATATATATATAAATATCTATATATCTATATAATCTAATATACTGTTTGTATGGAAATTTTAATCATCATTCTCGAAAAGCAACATTTGAAAAGATGATAAAAACATAAAAACTGGTCTAATCATGAATTCTACTTGCTAGGTAATAGAGGTGGGACAATATATCCAACTCCCTATTAGGTAATATGTGATAATAGGTATATTCATCCACTTACGCAAGCTTTGTAGTAATCACCCAGTGCTGAATAGGCGCCACCTAGTGTTGACAACCAAGCCATCGTTTCATCCAGGCTTCGTTTCTTTTGTACCATAGCTTCCACCTTATATGCCCTTGATAAAAAATTAAAAGTTTTAACCATTTCAAATATACATAACATGTCTTTAAACTTATTCACGATTTGGAAATGGCAGTTCTATAGATATACCTGAGAATCTGAGATATATGTGGAACGATTCGAGATATGAAAATTCTATTACTCAGATATATATCTGTTATGTTATCTCTATATCTGTTAGGACATAAACTACTAATACTACTACTCAGGGGACACATCTGAGATATATACATTATGACAAAACATACGCAAAAACTACACACATGATGAAAAGAAGTGACAACATAGAGAAAATAATCTAACCAAGTTGTTCCCAAACTTATTTAGTCCACCGCCCGCTATGCTAGAGAAATTCATCCCCAATAACCCCTACCCTACCTTATAAACACCTACACCTTCCCTCTCCCTTTGAGCCCCCATAAGTAAGCACACAGCCCTTGGGGGTCGGAGGTGGTACGACCCAGAGTGTGAACCACTGATCCAAACATTACCAGGATTTATTGAGAGGCAGGTTCAGGGGCCAGCTGACATCTGCGCGTAGAAGGACGGGGCCGTCGGCAGCGCCCCCTATGGTCAATAGCTTTCTCCAAACGCTGGCATAGAAACACCGACGAAAGCTGGCCGACTGCTGCAGCACGGTCACGAAACAGCAGAACAGCAACGTGTCGACTGCACGCGCGAACCTTAACCGGCGCACGCGTGCCACGTCTGTGACACGACACGCTACACCACACTCTCGCTGCACGCCTGGGCCACGCATTGTCCTGCAGAGCGACAGTGAACCGTCGACTGGCGAGATCATCACAGAAACACAGTTTTTCACGCCGATTTCGTCTTCGCGTTGACACTCGAGGTAACGTCTATAGGCGAAAGGATGTAAAGCCAACCGTCCATCACATTCTACACAACTACATGCAGAGGTGGTGACTGGTAGCATTGTAGATATTGCCCTGCCTCTACCGTCTTCATCGCCTTTGGATGTGACGGCGTGATATGGCGATGTATGCATGCTCATACTCATAGTCCCAGTGTCGATTTCTAAATGATTTTTAGCGTTGCGTGTGAATCTTGTTATAACATCGTGCATTGTATCCACTGTTTCTGTTGATCTTGCATTAGATATTCTACCCAGTTCAATCACAGTATCAGTGACAGTGATTTGATCTAACATCAACAAGTAAAAGGTTTCTTTGGGTTGTCGTGTCATTGACATTGACATTGCAGATCTTGACTAGCTTTCATTCGAAAAATGTATTAAACAAATTATTTGATCAAACAAATAATCAACACGATATGAAATTACACGTAGTACTAGGATCAGATCATCCGTAGAGTACCGTAGATGATCAGATCAGGATCAACTGTTTACCATAGTTCTAGTAACTTCTAGTTCTACCAGAGCATACGAGTAAATCAACTGGAGGCTGACATCTTGGGGTTAAAGGTCACTGTTCACTTCCGCGGTATCCGTAAACCGGTTTCCATCGTCAGCATCACCGTCGTCGCTGTTTTAAAAATCCTCACGCATACAAATAAATTACTAGCAAAACTACAAAAGTAATAATAAAGCAAAACATCTTGTTTGCATAAAAAAAAATTTTCTGTGCTAAAACTGCTAATTTTGTTCAATTTTTGTAAAAACTATTTCTTGGAGTCAAAATTTTGCGCATGTTTCTGTCTGTATCTCGGTTATGATGTCAAATGCTTTTCCTGTCACGTGGTCATAGTAAACATTAGTTCCAAAATGTACCGCTGGGGCGCTACCATCAAATAACATTAGGAAATGTCATCCGAGATCCAAGGATACAGTAGCTAGGAGAAGATATTATAGATATTAGAGAAGATATGATATTATAGCTCCTGCGGCAACGGTACGCGGACTATAGTTACTAGAGCTATATTATAGTTCCTTGACTAAGACAGAGTACGTAGAATATTTTGGAACCTCACAATTGTGTCTTACACGTGTGTTAAACTAATCCGGGTTGCTAATCTAGGCTTGGCCCTTGGGCCTAAACCGACGACTGTTTTTGGCGGTTCAAGGATAGAGATGATGTCCAGGACCACAGGCACAGGCACTTGGGCTCATAGGGTCTATGTCCCCCAGGGGGTGTCCGGTCAACTCGGAACATCTGCCAACTCGGTTAGCCGGCGAACCGAGCTGACCGATCTCGAGATCGGTGAGCTCGGTTCGTGAACCGAGTTGGCACTAGATACAATAATGTAACCCAAACCCAAGAGGATAGGGTTACAAAGTGTCCCTATCCTTTTCTGCGGAGGAATGCCCGAGTGAATCACTCGGGCCGGTTTGCTGGTGCGTTTTCAGATACTAGAACTTCCAAACTGGGTTTATTCTCAACACGAACCTTTCT